CATTTCTGCAAGACCCCAGCAAAAGGGCAATATTGCGCTACCCATGCATTCAAAATTCGAAAGGGTGTAATAATTCCACAACCCTGTAAAGGATGTGGTCGAGGGACTAAATCGAGCCTTCAGCTTTGTGTCCCGTGTGGCCAAGGTAGGGAAAGAGCGTATAAATATTATAAACAGAAAAATAACCAATTAAACTTATCATTTACATAAGTAACAATCAACTATTATCATTTTCATAACTATATACCACATTGATACTATAGACAAAAATGTATACCAAAGAGCCGGAATATAACAAAGAAACGATTACCTCAGATAAGTTATTCAAATTAGCTAGGCGATCGAAAAAACCAAAAATCTATAACCCCAAAACGAACCGTATGATTGCAATTGATGGACCAGCATATAATCAATTGATATGTAATGGATATATGCATTGGGAAGAGGAAAAAGTTTTAGTCCCTCCAATTCATGAAAAATTAGTATTGGGTAAATGGTTTGCGTCCATATCTAATCATATTTGGGGTATTGTTGCAGAAAAAAGCCTCCTTACAAAAATCAATGGGAACGTAAGCTTGTTAGAAATCCTACTTAAAGCAAACTGGAATGAATTTGCTATATGTAATTTGTTAAAATTTTGCTGGAATCATAGAGAAACTCGGAAATGGAGAAATGATATACTTGCAAGATTCCTTCATCATCCAAATTTAACTCCATCAAAGCATAAACCGAACGCCTTATATGATTCATTCACCAAGGCAGACGTTCTAGAGCCAGAGCATATATTAATTCTAGCTCGAGCAATATACTAAAAAATAAACACAATACCCAATTAATATAGCCTGAGTCGCCACAACTCGAAGCTATAATTTTTTTCGTTATATTCTATGTATTGGTAAATTTCAAATCGACAGACGTGTATCATGTACCTGACATATACCATTCATTTTTTCCAGAACCTTTTTAAGCGATACTATATCTTCTTTGATGTCTTCTATATTTTTGGCTATCTTATTACGTAGAGCTATGGATTCTAAAACTTTCGATCTATTCCGTGCCTTATTCATATTAATATCCATTTCCCAATATAATTACATTAATCGCTACCCATTCAATTTTTGGGTATATATACTGACCTGGGATAATTAATTTCGATTTGAAAAAATATTTTTCATAGTTATAGTCCACACAATTATACCATAACAACAATGTCGAAAGTAGCTACAAATTTCGTAAATCAGTATAACTTAACCCCTCAGATGAGTATAGCTGAGCTTGGTAATTATACCGAAAAAATATGTAAAGATTTAAAAGATTATAAAGCTCGTAATCACGCTCGAAATAGAATCCAGAAGTTAGGATTTAGTAAAGATCAAACATATACTTTAATTCCTATCCAGACTTCCGGAAGACGTGTTATAGGACGAGATCCAATTAAAAAGCTCGCTCAATATATCAAGGAAAATGAAAATAATCTTGAGCCAGAAGAAATAAATACACTAGCATCTAACTTCAGGATCAAGAGCTGGATTGTTCCAAATATCTTCCAGAGCGTTAAAAATTTCCTTTACAACACCCACAATTTTTTCTTCGGGTTCTTTCCACGTTCCATCATGAATCAACTTTTCCGGAAATCTATTCAAATAATTACGGCTAGAAAAACTTGATACAAATTCTCTGCAAATTTCTTTAACTCTTGGCATAAGCGTAGGTTTCATCAATCGAGCTGGTTTCTATAAAAATCATTAAAATGAATAAAATACACCACATAATATAATATCTTTACGGAAAATCAGATTCACGTGAAAAATATTTACACACCATAAATGCTTTTTTTAAATTCGTAGGTAATTGTTGTACAATGTTTGACTCGTCACTAATAACTTGGCTAGCCAAGGGGTCCTTCCAAGTTAATTCACGGATAGAGATCTTATTAACATCAGAGTGTAAACGCAGATATAGTGGGGAAGTATCATTTCCAAGTTTCCTCTTCAAGGCATTTACATTATTTTTAATCTGATTTGAAGTAAGCGGTTTTTCTTTATCAGTTTTTATCGCCCCCATATCGTATAAGCTACATACCCCCTCAAAAGCATTATCAAACTAATGAAAAAATATGATGCGTTAGTTTTTTTTTCAGAAATATAATAATTTTCGTCATTAAAAAATATTATCAGTGCATATGCAAAGTTAACATCTTTGTGTGGCCATCACGCCGATGAAACTTTGTGTGATACTAAATAACTACATAAATAATTTATACCTTAACTCACCCCGGCCATGCAATAACCTTTTCACATAATAGGTTAGTAGAGTGAACTACAATACTGCATAACAGTCTATAGCTTATACACTCCTCTATTATATGCAAGTATTATTGGGGCCGATTAATGGGTGAGAAAAATATAAACACCAAACTAAAATGATATTCAGGACTCGCTTTGCGAATATATCACACAGTATCATCATATAAAAACCTGAAATATCTGTATAAAACTTAAACTAACCTCTGAAGAAATTCGTAAAATTCTCAAATGGCGGGATGAACCTTCCACATATGCATTTCTGGCAGAAGTTACAGCTCGATTTATAGTCGATCTTAATTCATTTTTTGGAATCCAACGGTCTTCTTTCATTCCGAGATAAATAACGGATGTAGCATTTATCTGACATTCTTCAGCATTTCTCAAGAATACATAAATCTCGTTGCACAATTCAATAGACATTTTACAAGAAAGGTATAAAGAAAAGTAATATTTGTTAAATCGAAATTGCAACAAGTATAAAAATCACAAAAATAATAACAACTCGCTATACTGTCCTTTTAAACGGTTTTCGCATTTCCTCTTTCTGGCGAACAGGGAAAATCGATTTCTGGAAAATAGATAAGGTATGAAGAAAAAAATTTGTATGAGGTAATCAAATTTGGTTTATCGTGAAAATCAGATCATCTCCACAGAAAAATTATTTTATTCTTGTTATCAGTTGATCGAATGTCTGCGGCACACAAATGATTTTATCCATTGAAAAAATTTTCGTATAATACACAGCTCCATTACAGTCAAGGAATATTACAAATATGGAATTTCTAAATACTGCAATGATCCACTTTCTAGAATTTCAATAGAATGCAATAACAAATTATGTTACACGTGTATTAATATAAATATTATAAATGAGGGGCGCTCTAGGAAAAGAAGGGTCGGAGATTTTTGATCAAAAAAATTTTTTTTATATAATATTAAACTATAATATGATGAT